ACAATTTGCCAATGCATGATACATCAAAACTAAAAAGTCTGCCCCTCTCACATTTGCTGCCTGTGGAATGAGTTGACTGTTCTAGCCTGTCTTCTCTGGTCTACTCATATCAAATCATCCACCAGAGGACCCCTGCTGAAATCAATGTTGACACAAGGGAACCTGATGTCACAACTGTCCCAGTCTGGAGGAGCTAGAAGACCCATCCCAACAGATAATTAAATTATCCCCCAAACTATTTGAAATTTTAGGAATGTACAATGTAGGCTTATAGTGACAATGACTTGCTTGAGTTAAAGAAATATGAATTCCTTGGTACTAAGGAAGATTGAAGAGAAGGATTCTTTGCCTGGGAAGATCAGCCTGAGTGACCTAATTAGTTACAGCATGGAGGTAGAAAATGGTAACAGGCCTAGGGCCCCCTACTCTGTCACAACACCCACCCTGGCTTTCTACTAGTACTAATTTCCCTAGCTGACTCGTTTAGGGCTCATCCTAACCTGGTATGCCAGGCCTGGTCCAGGCCTTGGCAGCCCTATTATCTATCCTGGGTGCCATCCGGATTTTTGCTCTGCAAGAGGGTCTGCATGCCCTTTTTCGTTAACCGTTATGGGCTATTTTAATTTACCGTTAATCGTTGCCGGCCCGCTCTAATTCAACGTTAAGCGTTATCAGTATATTCCTCGTGAAGCGTTATGGGTCGTTTTAATTCAACGTAAAACGTTATTTGTCATCCTAAATTCAGCGTTAAGCGTTAATGAATAATTCTTCGTTACGCCTAATTTTGCCTTTCAAAGTGCAGGAAAATGCGTTTAAAAATACAAAATTCCCGGGGGAGAATGCCCCCGGACCCCCCTACATTGCGCGCGCCTTTGGCGCTCGACTCGCGCTTCTGCGCTCGGTCCCTTCGGCTCTAGCCAGAACCAGTTTTTCCTTCAATTTCCGGACGTTTGCGGAGAGTTACAGAATTTTTTAACGAATTTGTCAACCTTGACAGGCAAATTAACAAAAATCTTGAGTAAAATATGAAAACATCAGAAGGACCGACAAACACTCACACATGATTTGCCTCTCAAAATGCGGGAAATTGCGTTTTTGAAGGCTTAAAAATCCTAAATTTCCCGGGGGAGCATTCCCCTGGACCCCCCTAGATTACGAGCGCCTTCGGCGCTCCCTTCTCAAAATCCATCGGTAAAACTGGGCAGACTGAAAAAATGCAAGCTGGCCGACGTCGACTCGGACACCCCGGTATTTGTGGACGCACTCGGGGACCAGGGCAGGTGGGAAACACAGGGAACACATACCTTTAATGCATGCTTCATTACATGTAAGGTATACGTAATTTTGTCAGTGATCACAAAGCGAGATACCAAATCCAGTGCAGCTCGAAAAAAAAGCCTGTCAATTTACCGTTAAGCGTTGCCGACCGTCCTGAATTTACCGTTAAGCGTTATCGGTCCTGCTGAATTTACCGTTAACCGTTGCCAGGACCCCCCCATGCAGACCCTCATTTCTCTATAGTGGTCACCTGGCCATAGTGGTCAATTTTGGCCAGTCCCTTGAGTGACCACTATAGACAGGTTTGACTGTATAGAGAGACCTGGGGCTGATATATCTCTTACATTACCATCTAGTTTACTCTTCATGTCCGTATGATTTGGCAGGATTTTAGTCCGTACATGTTGCAAAACATGGTAGGCGTGGCACAGCGGGCTGCGTTTCCCTCACGAGACGCGCTGGAGGCGACCTTACAGGACGATTTACCCGAGAAACAGCGAGAAATGATTTTACAGTGAGCAATTTTGTTGCATTTGATTTCAGTCTTATACACTTACTTTACTTTGGCTTGAAGCTCGTTTTATTTTTGGTGCTTTTCAGAGAAAAAAAGCTAATCCAACTACATATTCCCAAATTCAGTTTCTTTCCCTAATTCAAATACTAATTGGAAATCCTAACACTAGTACTCTTCATATCACATATTACAGGGCTCGAAATGCTTTTCAGGAAGTCTTGATCATACTAAAAACTGTTCAGAAACCATAATTTATATTATACTTCACGGGTGGTAACCGTCAATGCAGCTAATGAAAATACACATACAGAACTTTGTATATAAAAACAGTACATTGACTAGTGTAGGTTAGATGTAGGTCAAATCAGAAATACATACAAAGATTTAATACCTGCACTAATCTGCATTGCAGGTGGTATTTCGAGCCTGTATCTTTAAATTGGTTTCTATTCATTAATACAATTCAACATGGTTATTTTAGTTTCGTTTTCTTTGTTCAAATTAACGGTGACTTATTTTTTGATAACATTTGTATCCCCTTCTCTCTATAGTTTCCTCTCATTGTCTTGGTTTCCATGGTGCTAAAGGATAAGGTATCTGCACCCTTTTCTTCACTTTGAGTTCTGGATTATCCATGTTTTCCTTTCACATATTATTTTATTTCTTTTGCAGTTGATATTTTCACTTTACAAGTAGTGTTAGGAAGGTCCTAGCTAAGAAAAAAAATAACTTCCAAAGTACATTACAGTGTTATAACCTATGAAATTTCAGTTTGAAAGATTGGCTGTTGTTCATTGAGTTTGAATTCTTTACATACAAATGCCCATAGCAACATACATGTATATGATTCTTTCACCCTTTTTGTTCATTTTAGGGGTGGGTTTAGTTCCCTCTAGTTTATTTTTTTCAGTAGACTAGTTCTAATTTGCTCAATACAAAGTAGCAGTTTTGCTCACATATTATGGAAATTTTTGGCAATTTTTTGTCTGAACTTAAGAATGCCCCAACAAGCACCATCATGACTTATAACATTTCTAACTGATCACTTTCAGGTACAATGCATCACTCTGTAGCATATTTTTTTTACTATTTCAAATATTGTACTGCCTGTATGTTTGACATGATATGACTTGTTGTTTCATCAGGACATACGATGGAACCTATCGTACAGAGGAGGAGCTATCCCATCATGCAATGGGCTGCTATCAGAGCCTTCTTGAGTTGGAAAAGGCTTTAAATGGACAAGACTATCTGGTAAGAAAGTAGGCTGTCATACTCAACACTATTTCAATATCTGAAATACAGATCCAATGGTCATCTAGATCCCAATAACTGATTATATACAGAAAATCAAAGAAATCTGTTCAAACCCATTGTGAGTTATAGCTGCAAACACACAAACACAACATTCTGTTAGTGATAGTCAACTAAGTCATAGTCCAAATTTAAGTTTGTAACACCTACATAGTGTTAGATAATTGTGTACGGGAGCCCATGTCTCTGTCCTTGGTGCTGAAATCCTTTTCCTGCATGCCTGCACTAGTCTGCTGTTCAGAAGTCACAGTGAAAACTGCAAATAGAAAAGTAGCACGGACAAATCGTGATTTACAGTATATGTAGTAGAAGTAAGGATTGAACTGGTATGCACGACTAAAGTTCTGTACATTATATGTAGTAAATAAATGCAGCCTTTTATAGCGCTGAATTGATGCAGCATTTACAAACAGTTTACAATCACATCAGAAGAATCAATCAATAATCACATAATACACATGATACATATAATATTTGCTCCACACACTTTTGTGGAACTGTCGCAAAGGTCTGTGCGGCTTCCATTCGGGGCCACAAGGTGACCTAAATACAACTTTTCCCCAACCTAACTTGGGTACCCATTCACACCTGAGTGGAGTGAAGAAAGTCCTGTCAAGTGCCTTTCCCAAGGGCACAATGTCAGGGCACATGTCCAGACATGTCCCAGGTACAACTCAAGATCGAACCTGAGTCTCCCCGTTTCATAGTCAAATGCTCTACCACTACGCCACCTGATGCCAAGACATTACATGATCCATCTTGTATTGTTGACTTGTCCAGATGGACTTCCTCTCCATTGCTGAGATCACCCTGTACCCACGGCTGCACCAGTTCGGCAGCGCCGGTCTACCCATCCAGGGCAGTGTGTTCCCCAACATCTCCCGTTACCTCGGCAACCTCTGGTATAGGTAACGTTAAACCGGAGTGGCGCGGCGTCACCTCGGGATCATTAAGGTGTCGGGTAGAGGGTGGCTCGCTGTAGTTAACATGCATTTTATGCTGCTGCTTTGGACCAGTGTTTGTGAGTAACCAGCTTTGCCTTAACGACAAATTACATGTTAAGATAATCATAGAAGACTAGTGATAAGTAATTGTGATAAATAATAGATATATAGTATTAGATGAAATGTACCTGTATATAAGCAGAAATAGATCTCCTCATTGTCCTCATTCTATCAACATTATGTAGCTCTAAGGTTGTATAGATTAAAATTTTTATTAGACTAAGTTTGCCAATAGTCTTATAGAATGCTCTATCTTAGACTTTGTACTTTGACTTCTATTCTATGGCTTAGAATGTGGATTGAATGAATGTAGGTTGTACTAAATCTAGTTTAATGGTAATATAGGGTTAGCTGGTAGTCTTATACATGTATGTAACACTTAAAATAGTAAAACAACCAGATATCTCCTTATCGAATTGCCTGTTTTTTCCTTTTCCCGTACAGGGGTGCTGTGAGGAAGAGTGAACCCATGAAGCAGTGGGTTGAGCACCTAACCCTGTCCATGGTGCCAGGTGTCCTGGTCAAGATGGGGAACTTCCGCAGTGGCAAGAAGGTGAAGAGATTCAGCGGATCCACTGTCCTGTCCAGGTAAGGACATAACTATTCACACACTCAACTCACTATCCAGTATATCATCTCTGGATTGCAGTTATCATTTATCTGCCAGTTAACACAATGTTGCCACATAAAAAAAAAGCATGTTTGACAGCAGTGTAACACACACATGCACAGTCTAGATGTGCAGAAATCATTTCAGCACCAAGGACAGACCAACTCCAAAGACTACAGATGTACAGTGCATTGACAATAGACATTTTTTTCAGGGTGGCACGGCAGTTACCAATATATGTGAGCTGGCAGAATTGTGTTTAACTCGGTAGAATGAAGTTACATTATAGGTAGCATAGTTGGGGTGTAGGGGCCCCAACACTGTTTGATCCATACCTCCTAAATTCTGAGTGGTATAGCTAATATTTGTTGCAAGTAATTTTCAATGTTACTGAATGTTACCTGTACCAGTTGGAAGTATTTTGAGCCCTGGGTACCTGTACCAGTGCAGGTATGCAGATAAAAGTATTTCGAGCCCTGGGTTAGTACATTTGAACTGTTGATCTCCCCCCCCCCCCCAGGGTGTTCCAGCTAGCGAGCCAGACAAGGACCATGGATCGGGAGATGTTGAAGCGAGAGGGGGAGGTGCAGGAGGGAGAGTTCCTCGTCCATCACTACTCCACTGCTGCTGAGCCACTACAGGTCCAGCTGCTGCTGATGGAGAAGGTGGGTGGGGTTAGGGTTGAGGTTAGGATTAGTTTTAGGGTTAGGGTTAGTTTTAGGGTTAGGGTTAGGGTTAGTTTTAGGGTTAGGGTTAGTTTTAGGGTTAGTTTTAGGGTTAGGGTTAGTTTTAGGGTTAGGGTTAGGGTTGGTTTTAGGGTTAAGGTTAGGGTTAGGGTTGATGGAGAAGGTGGGTGGGGCAGAATACAACAGTTCTGCTACACTGGTGAAGGCTAGACATCCAGGTAATAAGATACGCCAAAAAACAGTTACTCATTGACAAGCAACTGGATATGATTTTGGAAACGGTCAGACGTTTCAGGTAGCATCCACTACCTTTGTGACATCTCAGTATCATCCTTGCGTTCCCTACAGGGAGCCAAATATAGCACGATGAAGCGCGGCTTTGTGGAGATGATTGGTCGTCCTCACGGGTCTGCCGGCCGTTTCCGGGTGCGGCATGGCAACAGGATCCTGACAGGATCACGAGGGGTCCTGGAATATGTGGACTCTGTTACTGGAGTTGACTGTGAGTTATCGTGCAGGCTTTTTCACTTTTTTGTCCACTAATTAAGACTATGTACTAGGTTGAATATTGAGTTCGAACTGTAATTTCCAACACGCGAAATTGGACTTACCCAAATTTTCCACTCTACAACTCCAGTCTATCTCATGGAGGTTCATCTGTGTTAGTAGTAATCATAGTAAAATGCTAAACTTTATTCCAACACAAAGGGTACACAGGGATCAAATTTTCAACGACCATGACTGGAAAGGGCCGACTGTAAAGCGATGCAAAGTCACTGACCTGGTCTATCCTGGCTAGAGAATAATACAGATGAAGTAAACATGAAAAATACATTGTATATTACATGTATTATAGATAAAGTTGGTTTAGTTTATCAAAAGACGTAAACTGTGTGCTTCTCTCTACAGTGACGTTGCCGGCCCTGTACCCAAAGGACCCTCTGCTGAGAGCAAAGTGCCAGCAGTGGCAGGCCTGGGAACAAGACTTCTACTGTCAGGACATGGTGTACCTGCTGGAGAGGAAGGTGGTCGCACAGAAGCTGCACGACAGGTCAGGGATAACCTCCTTGCATGCCTTACGGGAGCAGTCAGCAATTTTTTTTTTTAATCACACATACTAGTAGATTGCACAGGCTTAGAAGTCTGGCTGCCTGCCCTAGTATGTGCATGGAAAGGCGTGCACGATATAAGTGCGATCAGGAACCCCCCCCCCCAAAAAAAGTAAATGCCGACCGCTCCCATGGCACCTGCAAAGGAGGCTAGGTTAGAATATACTGGGTCTGTTTGTTGATTAGTTGGATTGTTTGTTTGTTTTGCATAACCGGTACCAGTAAGCTACCTTTGGTTAGGCGAAACACACCAGTTTTGTACAAGCTGTGTAAGACCGGATGTTAAGATTTCATTCACTCACACTTGAAAGGACTTTTTTAGAAGACTTAGTGTGGTTGGTTCTTGAGAGGTGTCTTTCCTCAAACACAGGACCTCCAGATTAACATCCCAGCATTTTTCCACCATGTTCATTGTGGAAAAGCATAATGAACAGTGGTCCATCATGGCTGAGACCTATAGAAATTGCTTAATGTTGCTTGTAATGTTACACCATATGCCAGACAGCATTTGACCCGATTTAACTTAGTTTCTTGTATGTATCAGGTATGACATGACAAATCTGGACGAGCTGCTAGCACTTCAGAATGACGTCCGCTTCCTGGCTACTTTTCTCCATATCATGAAGCTTTACATGTCAAGGTATGTGGGACCAGGCAAATACATTTGTAGACCTGGATTTGATATACAGCAACTCTTGTAAAGCTCAGTTGGTCATTTCAGTTGTTAACTAGCCTCTACCAGGCTTTAGAAGCAACTACATGTAGATACATATAAATGGTAATGAAGGGTAGCATCTAGCCTCTACCAGGCTTCGGAAGCAGCTGGAAAGATATATAGAAATTGGCCAAATAGACAGATAACATGCTACGGGAGATGATCTGCTAAAGAAGCATAGTTTGCCTCTCTGAAAGCAAGCTAAATCCCCTGGCATGTTATCTGTCTATTTGGCCAGTTTCTACATTATCTTTCCAGCTGCCAGGATACATATATCTGCCACTTTGAAAAGCACTGTGTTTGAGAGATACATGTACATTTTGTATGTAGTGCAGCACCCCCAGGTATGCACAGTTTAGATATGCAGTAGTGCATTATGCATTGGAGATCTCTAAATTTAGACACATTTTTCAGGTTAGCAGATATAGAAGAACCAGCAGAATTGGGTATATAGTTAATGTTATGTCCTTGATCGTCAGCTTGCAAAGATTTTTTTTTTAAGTTATAACCTTTAATTCTTACCCCATTCCAGGGTGGTCCGTGGCACGGAAATGTGGGAGAAGCTGGGTAAGACATACGGGCACCTGGTAGAGGGGGACGCAGCGCGGGTGGGGAATGTGGTCATGTACATGGAGCTCATCAGGAAACGCCTGGAGTACCTGGACCAGTACCTCAAGGTGGGTACATGTACTTGTTTATGTGACTCCTGTTGTTTTTTTTTTGTTTTTATTTACATATTAATCTTTAGGGTAGTCCCTTTAGTTATGGCTTCACCACACCACAAAGTGTGTCTCATGTTTCTTTTCTTCTTCTTGTTCTTCTCCTCCTGCCATTTCTTTAAATTGATTCAACTCTGCCAATTGAATGACCTGAAATTTGGCATGGAGGTAGAGTGGGCAAAAGTCCCCAGACGTCTTTTTCCATCTTTTTAAAGGCCTTTAAAAAAATGTACATTTTGGGATCTGGAGCCCTGGTATATGAATGACCTGAAATTTGGTATGGGAATACCTTGGACACGTGTCCACAGAATGCCGTTCACAAATTCACAAATGGATATACAATGTATAACATAAGGTAGTAACATAGGTAGCATAGGAGTAATGAGTCATACAAACAACAAGTATAAACATGAAATTTTGCTGTCTATACCCACAGAACAAGGACTATCTGGTAGGAGACATGCTAACCTTCGCTGACATCTGTGTCTTCTGTCGTCTGCTGTTCCTCCCCGGGACAGGCGTCCACATCTCTGAGAAACTCTACCCCAACCTGACCACGTGGATGGGAGCTCTCCGTCAGCGAGAAAACTTCGGAAAGATCGCAGAGGAAGTGGAAACAAATCTTGGGAAATTCTTCATTCCCGAGGCTTCTTAAAAGAGTTAGAGATCAGTAAAAGGAAGGAAGGAAGTAGATATTTCTTATGTATTTCTGATTTTAACATGTCTCGCCTGTTCAGTTCATTTTATAAATGACCTGATCTTTGGTATAAGGTTAGCAATGACAATACAAATGGGGAGCACTTCAGCAGAACATACTGTGCCTGTGTGAAACTTGTAATGTATTGTAATGTATGGCGGAAGGTCTTGTTTGAGGTCATATTGCATTGGTGCATTTGAGGAGGACATCATGTCTGTAGTTTTCAAATGTTGTGTAGAATTCGGACTAAACAGTATTGACCAAACATCCAATGAAACCTGTGAAAAATCTGGGTGCAGTCACAGTACTTTCTTTAGCTGTGCTGAGATGGGGAGTGGTATATTGAGCCCATTTAGTATTCTATTGTTGCATGAAGGGGTTAGATTTGTATAATTCCATTTTGGAGTGGGACAGTTGATATGGAACTGTCCATTTTTGCATGGGGAGGGGAAGCGAGTGAAATATGCTGCATTTGCTTTCTAGTTATAAATTTTCATGTTTGTTGTTGGTGTTTCTTACCTTGGAACTTCATACTTGACTAGAAGGAAAAATGGCTATCATGAATGTTTTGCTAAAATCACCTGCAACATGTTTATAGCAATATTTATGACATTATAATATTGCCATTATTGTGGTTGATATATGCTGCTAGGGTGAATATTTATAAACTAAAGAATGGGGTGCTGTTATAATATATTTCTTGAGGTGCCTTATGACTAAATCTTTGTGGCAGTTGTTCATTTGATGATTTTCTGATGTGATATTTGCATGGTGAGTTGTGGAAAATACTTTTAAGAGTAGTTTTGTCTGTACATCGCTGCAATTTGCAATGCACAATTTTATCACAATGCATGTTTTTTTATCACAGCATTGCTTGATTTTCTTATCTGAAAAGTGGTTTCAGGCTGCTTTTACACATAGCTATTGATTTATAGTGATATTTAATGAACTAATATGATATGATAAAATAATATCTGAAGCAAATAAAACGGTTTTACACTTGAATGTACTAGTATGCAGTCATGGATATTTTATATTGTATTTGGTAAACATCCAGTAGTAGTAGTAGTAGTTGTTGTAGTTACTGTAAAATATTAACACCGTATTGCTGCATACTTAGTTCTTTCAGTATTTGACATGTTAATTCTTTAAAGTACATCATTAAATAATGGAATGATTGAATATATTCAGACAAGTCAAGTCCACACATCAAGTCTTTTGATATCAGAATTTTTTTATTAACATTATTGCAGTTTTATAAAGCCTAATGGCTAACATTATAGTGCAGTTCCTCCATCAGCTGCTAGAGGCCGCTTTTGACCCACGCACGCGGTTTATGAACTTGGACAAAATTGCCAGGAAGCAAACGATGTAACTGTAAACGATGTATTAAATTAATTAAACAGTGCTTTACTTATCTATCGATAAGGTTATGGGCAGTTAGTGTGAACAGCTTCGTTCTGATAAAACTACCATTGCAGAAATATAAAATTAACATACATGTACTCTACTTATCAGACGGTTCCGAAACGTGGACTTTAACAAAGTCACTCGTAAGAAAGGTTGAATGGCTGCTACACTCGCAGTGCTACGCATGTGGCTCGATGGCAGCAAAAGCTAACTACCAGTACATTGTAGTATCCAATTGTTGTACCACCAAGATCTACCACGGCCAAGGACCTGCCATCAAATATAATCTCCTTGGTAGGACAGACAACTATTGCATTATCATAAAATGGACAACTTCCCCCACACAGGCCACGTTTTTCTTTAATGTGATAATCTGAACAATGTATGGCATTGTCTTCTATGTTTGACACCTGCGGGCTCTGTACTTTAATGCGAACTATGCACAGTTGTGTCCACAAACTGGAACAGCCCGAGGGTAAGTAAGTCGCTGTTTTACCGGCCCGAGTACAAATCGTCCGTCTGTGAGCTCAAATGTTACTAATCCCTAGTCGTTGAGAAAGGCACGGAAACCGAACTATCGAAATAGCTGTAATAGGTGTTGTTTATGTTGAGAGCCAAAGCTGATTTTTAAATTTGCGGTAAATTACGCAAGCCATTCACAAACAAACTACAGGGTTAGGTATAAGGAAGCTATGGGGAGATAACGTCATCGGTAAAACTAGTAAAACTACTCCGAGGCGTGCGTGGGTAGCTGATAGCTTGTTACCGGAAACATTGTTCTATATCTGACAGGAAACGCGTCGTAACCGATCGAGTAGGGACATCTTTTCTGCCAGTCTCTCTCTTGCTGCCTCTCTCTTCGGCCGCCATGGCCGCGACAAGTCAACCAGGTGTTTCCCCCGACCCTGTATTTGACGAGGTGGACCCCGTAGTCTCCGCCTCGACTCTCGGTACGGTGGAGCTCATCGCCCGGCAAGACTACACGAAGGGCGCGGTGGAGGTCACAGTGGTGAGGGCGTCTTTAGAAGACAAGGAGCGATACAAGAGTGTCAACCTTTACGTCACAGTTGAACTCGGAGGCACTGTTCTGACGACTAAAGTCACCAGGCAAACTTACACCCCGATGTTCAACGATACGTTCCAGTTCGAGTCGACCAAGATCACGTATGACTCAGTCTTACACGTAAGTGTCTAATCTAATCATTCTTTAGCTTGAGAAATGTTCGTCTTTGTCATGGCAAGGTTCGTCTGTATATACCTGCTTGGTTATATATAGTATTATGTAACACGGGTCTCAAACTTTTTGGTCAGGTAGTTGAAAAGGATTCAGTCGAAATAAGTCCACATTTTTTAGGTAGACAATTGTGTAATTGTTCCACATGTTTATGATTCTTGTGAGGCACCAAACCTCATTGAAGGACAAAAAATCGAATCATCCATAGACTGTCTTTCATCTTAAAACCTTATTTATATGATACCATTCGTAAGTCCTTGCACAAAATCATAGCAAGCTTATGGCAGATTTCAACCACTCGGTGGTCGACAAGTATGAAGTATTTGCCGACCATAAGGCAACTTGTAAATAACGACTGTACCAAATACTTGTGCCAGGAGCGCACCAACAATAAACAGACAACGTTATAATTATCCTCCTTCCTGCCAACAGTTATATTGCTCTAATTGTGGAATAGGCGGTCCTTTGTAGGAGAGAAGATTTGCTTTTCAATGTCTAACAGATAGTTAGCCCCGTTGGGGCCAATTTCTTGCCCGAGAAGGCCAAATTAAGAGCGGTTTCCTTATTGTCTCTGTCTCTGAGTAAATGACCCAAATCAAACCCTCTGCAAAACAAGTGGGTCACACCTGTACAGCTGTGTTCACTGGGGCGAACAATCCATATCATCTACATAAAAAAACATAAACGATCTTAGCCAAGGCCCTGTTGATTTGATTATATGAATTAACTGTAAACATAAGCCTTGTTCACACCGTGATTCTATATATGTTTTGCAGGTTAAAGTCAAAAGTTTCAGAATGATCCATAAGGATCCACTGATAGGGGAGCTGAGTCTGCATCTGGGTGACCTGGACATGGGGAAAGTTCAGCAGTACCAACTGAAAACGGTGAGTTCCTTTCTAAGGCCACAACTATCTAATTGCACAAAAGTCATTCTGTAATAGTTCAGTTACCTTTACGTAAACGTATAAGGCTCGCTTAAAAATAGAATTTCGTACAGAGTCTAACTAGTTTACTCTTTTACTGTTGTAGTTCATCGTACGTAAGTAACCATTCACACTTGAGTGTACCGTCACTATGTCTTGTGGAAAATGTTGGAATACAAAGAAAACATTCACATTGGATTAATATTACAGCCCAAAATTAGTGAAACTACAGAAGAACCACGTTGCACTGATGATCTGAACACCAGCAAAACTGACGAAAATGACTTGCAGCAACTGGTGTCAACTACGGTGAGACTCGTATCCTTGTCTGGCCTCTGGAACATGAGGATAAAATGCGATAACTGTGTGTGTGTGTGTGTGTGTGTGTGTGTGTGTGTGTGTGTGTGTGTGTGTGTGTGTGTGTATGTGTGTGTGTGTGTGTGTGTGTGTGTGTATTTGTGTGTGTCATTTCTTAATTTGAAAACGTGAGGCTAGTCCACTGCTCCTCATGAGACAATAGCCATGCCCTTTACATGCTTGACGTGTATATAAGAAACATTTCTTATCAAATTGAACACGTTGTTGACTTTTGCAGGATGGACCGCGGAAGATAACGGAGTCCAAGTCATCTTTATTTGGTTTTACGGTAATAGTTTAAGTTTACTCTTACTTTCTCTCAAGTTTACTCTCTTCAAGCGTGTTCATTGATTTCTTGAATGTTGTCACTTCTATTATGCATCTATTTCCAGTAATAGCAATAGTACACACAGGTACTTCTTCGCCTATATTTATATTTTGGTCGTTCCATGGTATGGCTGAAATAAATTGTTTTTCCTGGTGTTTTTTTGGCTAAATGACTTGGTGTTTGGTGTGGAGGTAGAGTGGACAAATACCCTCAGGCATTTTTTTCTTCATTTTCTTGATACAGGCTTTTAGAATTCTTTTATCATTTTTTTGCTGTGTTAAAGGAATGTACTATAGCAGTGTGACCATATTTGCCCCATCAGATTGTATATTATACCATCCCTTGTTGTTTTATTCTATACCTTTTTTGTACATGTATTTCTACGTTCAATACATAGTTGTTGTCAAATGCAATGTACAATTGTCGTGCAATAAAGTTCTTCTTTATAGATAAGTAAAGTGAAGGACCTGCACGCCGCTGCTTTGGTGGGAGACATCGGAAAAGTCAACAAGTACCTGGAAGCCGGACATGACGTCAACGAGATGAAAACCATGCGACTGTTTCCTCAACATGTAGGTGTTCCTTGGACTAATGTTTCTCTGATCTTCATTGTCTAGATAATCTTTATATTGATAGTCTAAATAAGCGTCCAATTGAGAGAGATTGGGGTAAACCAGGATGACAAAGCGCCTGGTATTTGAACTTTAAACCCGTCAGATAGTCGAAGAGCTACGTATACTGTCATGTTTGCTGGTCGCCAAAAGGTCGCAGAATTTCAAAATCACCAGAGGGCCAGACAATATTCCTATCGGATATCGTAGTGACCTACGAACGACATCGAACAATGATCGAAAAAAAATCGGGCATTCTATCATATTGCCCAAAATGTCATTCAGAGATCGTAGACCTGTTGGCTAATCTATTTTCCTTCTGTATACATGTACATGTATTACATATACAAGCGCCTTCTTAAAATTTGACCTTGGCAGACCGCACACAACCGTCTTCTCACTTGACTTCATTCTCATGTTTGTTCGCCGCAGCCAGACGATGTAGTCAGTGAACACGAGTTTCAGGGTGTGACGCCGCTGCACTGCGCGGTGATTGCTGGGAATGCCAAGGTCGTTTCCCGCCTTCTCCAGTCGGGTGCCGACCCACTCGTGCGCAGTAAGGTAAAACCTTTTTTTCACTCGTTCGCTCGCTCGCTCACTCACTCACTCGCTCGCTCACTCACTCACTCACTCACTCACTCACTCACTCACTCACTCATTTACTCACTCACTCACTCACTCACTCACTCACTCATTTACTCACCCGCTCACTCATTTACTCACTCGCTCACCCACTCACTTAAAATACAAATTCAAGCATGAAAGAAGATAATTATGAGATTCTGAGAAACAAAAATGGTGGAGGTTACACAGGAAAACAGTTACTCAAGCAACTGGATAGATTTTGAAAACTGTCAGGCGTTTCAAGTAGCATCCACTACTTGTTATCAGTGACTCAACCTGGGATTGTTTGGCCTACCAATTATCTTGTTAATAACCTTACAGTAGTCCAGTGGTAATTGTAACGGGTTTAAAATCACACGAGTACGCCAAATTTTCCAGTAGGTACCACTTGCCTTGGGCGAGTGTTTTGTTGTATTCTTCCATTGAAACATGTTACGTTGTTGTTCCTAAAGGATCTCCAGTCACCCATGCACACTGCTACCTGGTTCGGTCACCACAACATCATCGAGACCTTGCTGCTAAAGTACGAAGTGGAGTACCAACAAAAGATGAAGAAGGAGGGACTAGCCGGTCCTCTGTCCACGTCTACTGCCCGACTTCTGTACTGGGTGGATCCAACCATTCGTGATGATCTGGTACGTCATACATGTATTTCCTCTGCTTTTGTAGTGTACATGTGTTAAAAGCAGCCAAAACGATTTCAGGGCAGCAAAACCGGATTGTTAAAGTCAGTTTTCTAGCCATTTTTAAAATGTAGTCGAATCAACCCTATCCCATAGCACACTGATACCTGTGAGACAAAATGTGATATCGCTGACAGAAAACGGTTGCTTGTTTCATTTCTGGTCATGGCTTTTAATTGGTGGTACCAAAAAATAAAGGGGCTCCTTAATTAGCTTTAGCTATTTCAAACGCTTGAAGTATGAAATGATAACGAAAATGTGCTAGGAAATGTCAGTAAATGTCAATATCAGATTTCATCATCCAAAATATTTCTTTTGTTTCCAGCCCTGCAATTGCATCGGATGCTTTTCAATGGAAGATAACGGAACTTAAAAATACTTCTCGAAGTACAAATCATGATTCTTGAAGCAGCTAATAATAACTTGAAACTATTCCAACGTCTTTCAGGAAAACATGGTGTGGAATGCAGCGATGGTTGACAACGTGGCTTTCCTGAATGTGCTAGTGGGACAGCTGCAATGGACGGTGGAAGATCTCACTATCAGAGACTTTGAAGGGGTGAGGGACGAACAATTGCTAAACACTACCTCTTATACTATTGGCACTTTTCTTACTACATGTACTAGTACGGTCAACGATTCATCTCCAAGCAGATTCATTCGGGGGACATGGGACGATCAAAGTGACCACCCGAGTTACCATTTGATACAGTATTGCAAACACCAAAAGATCTGCCTGGAGAGTAGTCATCTATGAAAGTTAAGCTAATTCCGTTAGCACGTTGAAATGCACGGAAAACTACGTAAAAACGATCCTTACTAAGAATTACATCTTGGTTATATTTGTTTAACCCTTGGTTTTATAACTGGTATACGATGTGCAATGCGATAACATGATTCAAAAACAATGATAGCAAATGCACAAAACGCAAAAAAAAAATCGTTCAACATGTAAGAAATTCTCTTAGCGATCTGTTGAATTTTAGCCCTCGCAACGTTAAGTGGAGAGGGTGTGAAACCAACTACATGCTCTATCTAGTCTTGTTATGGATGGGTAGTTATACAGGGGAATTAAGTAACAAACAAAATGAATGTGTGTTTCTTACAGAATACACCACTGCACATCGCCGTACACCAGAGGTATCAGTCGAAGAAGTTCGCTCAGGCGCTGCTGGATATGAACTCAGACCTCCTCCAGGAGAGGAACAACGCCGGGCAGACTGTGTTGAACGTGGCCGGGAATGACATGAAGTATACACTGATGGGCACGGCAAAACGCGTCGGTTAGTACTTGACAATCATACAGTATGAGAGAGATGACTTTTTATTGGAAAATTGCAGACGTACATCATTAAATCGTGTCTAAAATATCTTGTTTCTTTACATCAGATGCATATGCTATAATTGTTAAACCACAGCGATCATGTCGATTTAGTTATTAGTATTACTAAAACATGAATCATAACCTTATAGACTTTAAAATACAAAGATATCCAACACAATCTAAAATATAGGATCATCTCAGCTCAGCTTATAGTGCTGCTTGTAACATTGAAAGTACATGTGGAAGAAAGATAATTAAGTTTAAAATATACATAAGTTAGTTAATTCAAATGAGAACAAACTATATTTCACTTTTTACTGTATTATGTTTTCTTCTTCAGGTAGTTTTGGGCCAGTTTTACAAAGGCCATGAACTGATGAAGCACTTCGCTGTTGTGCGTAGTATTCAGAATATCTCAACTATATTGTTATATAGTTTATTTACTTTTATTTTACTTAATTACACATGGTATTTCTCCTACAGGGAGCCTAAAGAGTGACAGTCACTTCGAAGAGGACTCCCTAGGTTACCGGGTGTATGCCAAAACTGTTGCCGATATCCTGACGGACGAGTCCACCACCATGCCCATCACTGTGGGAATCTACGCGCGCTGGGGGACAGGCAAATCCTTCATCCTCAACCAAGTCAAAAGTGAGTAGCTTCTAGTTAGTGAATATTCTTCGATCAGTGGCTTGTTTGTCGGCAGTTGATTCTGTCACAGCCTGTTTTAAAATTCTACGACTTCAAAACCGTAGGCCTACGACAAATGCGATCGCGCAATAACACTTGTGATGGCTTTCAGCACCAAGGACAGGGCCGGTGTCAAACCACAGTTATGGCGGGGTTACATGCGACCATAGCTACACTAACACTAGTTGTGATAGCGTTCAGCACCAAGGACAGAGCCGGTGTCAAACCACAGTTATGGTGGGGTTACATAGGACCATAGCTACACTAACACTTGTTGTGATAGCGTTCAGCACCAAGGACAGGGCCGGTGTCAAACCTCGGTTACTGCACCGTATTCCTAATGTTTTTCAACTGTTCTGATTTTGTTACCAACTGCTCTTTTTTCAGGTGAGATTGATGCAAACATAGCAAAAGCGAATAAGCTACGAAAGGTTGAAGAGTACAACACAAGGATGACAAACAAAAGGAAGAGGTCAACACCCGTTCCACCACTGCCTTTCGCGTCATGTGCGACCTGCTGGGCCTTCCTGCTATTCATTGGAGTCGTGGTAGGTGGCGCCCTGTCCTACTTCTTGTACCCCGCCATCTTCAACATTGTACTGATCGTCGGTACGATTTTCACCGTCTGCACCTCCGTGATGGTTGGCTATCTGAAGAGGAGGGATCTGAAGCGGATTTTGCTGACGCTGTTTCCCGGATTGCGCTGGACAAAGAGACACATTCAGCTGATTGGAATCTGGCTGGATCTTATAGAATCGCCGGATCTGGAGACGGATCCTCCCAACGCGGGACACGTGAAGGTGATCCACGTGCAGTTCAACGCCTGGGAGTACTCGGGCTGCTCGGCGCTCTGGGCAGGGATCGTCACCAAGCTGTGTGACGAAGTGGAGGGAGAAATCGGCCCGTGGACCACCCGGCTGTACCGCGCCATCCACGACAAGTTCATGTCGTCTGAGAGACCGCCGGTGACGGGGAGACTGTGGTTTAAGTATGTCTTAGTTTAATAGTCATTTAGTACCTTCGCCAAGGCTCTGTTTTTGGTATCGTTTGTATGTATGTCTCTTAGCACGATAACTGAGGAAGCTACCGATGGGTTGTCATAAATATTGGTAGGTGAGTATGTCTTGATATAATTAGATGTTTGGTCCCCATGGCCAGGTGGTACGTTTTCTGATGCAATTGATTTCTTTGATACATTAGTATTACGTGAAGATAAACATGAAAGATATCAAACCGACACAATTAACACCTAAACACAAATGATACAAGTCATGACTGTGTGTGTAATCTACAAATCAGCTTTATCTTTCCCGAATCTTTTGCTTGTTTATATCGCACACAGCGGTGAATATCATTTGATCATACCAAAGACGATCCTGTCTTGTCGTTTACCGTTAGGTTGCTGATCACGACGGTTCTGGGGACTGTAATGATTGTGCTGGCAGTTGTGTTTGGCATTAAAGGAGATACGCCCCTTCAGGTAATTCTTTTAAAGATCCAGCTTCACCTTTGGAAAGTCTGACTGTAGCATGGTGATTTAAGCATAATATTTTTCTGGTATCTCTGCTGCTAATTGTCGTTATGCGGAGGTCACATTTCCAAACTGGAGCCCAAAATGGAACAATTTATATGAGGAATATACACAAAAACGTTTTTGTCCTTTGTTGTCTTTTATATCATTTTATATACTTTTCGTTCCAAAAGCAGACTGCCCGGCCATTTGGAATGTGACCTCAGCATATACAGGCAAGAAACAACGGAAAAAAGGGTCTCCGTTCTAAGATATTGGCACTACAGATAGCCCTCAAACATTGAAGGAGAGTGTTTGCTTTGTTCAAGCCTCCTGATAACATACTATTGGGTATACAAGCAATAAAATAATTCCATCTTTGTTCCTGTTATTCACAGATAGCAACCAGCATAGTGGAGATCCTCTGTGGCGTTGTACTCACCGCGGGGTTGTTGAAGAACGCCACCGAAATCTGGTCCTTCCTCCGGAAGATCGCGATCTCCCAGAGAGACCGGCTGATGGCCCAGACGGCGAAACCCAACTTTGACCAGGAGCTGGGCTTCATGTCGAAGGTAAGCCTCCTGACCTAACCGGATATCTTAACCTTGTGAGGTCGTGTGGTAGAGTGTTCAGAGCCTAGAGGTCCCGGGTTCGAACTCAACCGCTGTGCCCTTGGGAAAGGCACTTTATTGATAGGCACTTTCCTATCTTAACTCAGGTGAAAAGAGTACTTCTTCTGAGTATAATTAGTGGCGGCATAAAAAATCAGAAAAATATGAGTGTACCGTCACCATGTCTAGTCATTACATGTTGGAAAAAACAACTTAATTAGCCTGTCACTGTTGAGATACATTATCTCATAAAATGAAACTAAATAATTCACGAAACGTTACAGATTCCAAAACATAATAACTATCTGTAACAAGCTGTGTCTCTAACTCGACGTACACGCTACTGGAAAGGGTCACAGTCCCTAGGATGGGACGTTAAGCCGTGGTTCAATGTTCATTGTACGAAAAGGGAATTTAAAAGCACAAAGGACTTGTATATACATAACATATCTGTCTTCTCTGTCACGACCAGTGGAAGAGTAGGTCAACTGTTCGTTGAGTTCGTTGTGCTAAGCTGGTTCAAGATCACTTTGATTTTCGCTATGAAAACCCCTGAATTTTTTTTTCTTTATTTTCTTTAACCCAGGTGAAGACAGAAGTGCGGGTGGTGACCTACCTGCTGCGGTACTTTGAGGCAGCCCGCGGGAAGCAGTACCGGGTTGTGGTGGTGGTGGACGATTTGGACAGGTGCCCGAAGGACAGAGTCACCAAAGTCATCGAGGTGCCCTTTTTTATCACTCATCAAAACGCTCATTATTTGCCTTGTGATCAAACAACAGCACAAATATTAATTTATTATTCCTGCTCAAGAATCAGTAACAGACAAAACCTTGCAAATACCAGATAAGAAATGAAGGTAGGTTCTATCGTTAAGACGTTTCTGGTAGCAATCCACCAACATTCGCCAGCGACACTGGAGAGCTCTCAAATTCAGCAGGTTTATAAACACGAATTATAGATTGACACGTACGCAGATGAAGTGAAGACCGCTTTAATACATGTAGTTCATATAGGAAACAAAATCAACATGGCTTCCCATGTATCGTACAAGTACAATACCAACGAATGACGAAAACTCGTTCCTGCAGGCAGTGGGCATCCTTCTGTCCGATCCAAACTCCCACTTCATCTCGCTCCTGGCCGTGGACCCCAGGATTGTCGTCAAGAGCATCGAGGAGAGTTTTGGGGAGGTGATGAAGAACGCCAACATCAACGGGTACTGATCTGAATTTCCAATCTTTAGTTTCCTATAAGGCCACACTGACTTGATTTTATGGATGATCATGGATGACATCCTCTGAAGACCCCAAAACTAGTTCCGTTTAAAGCTGCATTATGCAACATTACAAGTCAATTTTCAGGTCTTTACAAAGTAAATTGACTCAATCATGCCTTAGAGCCAAAACTAATAGCCGACCATACGACAGCATACAGCTATAGCTTTTAAGGGCATGAATATGTAATAAAGATAATCATTATCATTATGTTGTACCTAGGTACGAGTACCTGAAGAAGATGGTTCAGTTGCCCATCTGCCTGCCTGGTCCAGGCGCCGAGGAGACGAAACGTTTCCTGTGGGACACCGCAAAGATGTCCGCTACCGACCGGAAGGTCATAGCCGTGCAACGGCAGGAGGCTGGGCAAGCAAGGGCGAACAAGGCAGCAAAAGTAGGCATCGACCTAGAGGAAAAATTAATTTTCTGACGATAACCTAGTCTGGTAACCAGATCATCGAAGACTCCCGACTATTTCGACGGCGTTGGCCGGGAACTGTGTTGCCTATCGCCAATTCCCACTATACCCTGGTCGCCAGACTGGATGGGACCGTCAGCCAGGTTCCCATCGGGCTACAACTTGCCCGTGGCGCTAATTTAGTTCGGCGGGCGTACTGCCTTGGGCTGCCGAAGTCAACTGGCATGGCTGACGGCCCGATCTAGTCTCGCTACCAGGATTCATCTCGCCCACCACTCTTCCCCCTTCCTCGACTCTTTCCCCTTACACCAATACTCCTAAGAGAACCAGGCTAACAGTGATATCCAGAGATATGCAATAATCGTACCTTGCTTACTATAAAACTCACATGTATATAGAGGGAAAGAGATCAAACTTTTGAAAGTGAAACATATTGACTTTTTTTTCTCAGACACTGGTGCTGAACAAGAAAGAGAAAGACGCTATGAAGAGAGGCCTGCACAAACTTTCTATCCTGTGGCGTAACGATGCGACACAAGAGACGTGCTATGAATGCAGATCAGTATCAGTGGGAAGCACGTCTGAGGAGCATGGCCACGACATGACAGGACACGACATCAGCGACAAGAACCTCTTTCTAACGGAGGCCATCAGGAGTCTGCAGAAGGACAACGTCGTTCGCTACGTTGCCGGAAACCCACGTCACATCCGGCGCCTCTTCAACATTCTGTGCGTTTCAGTAGGAGTTCTGTTCCAGCGAGACAGGCTGACAGGGTTCACGCCCAAACAGGTATGTACCAGTTACTGGTCTATGGCCACAGGACTGAAATTCCGAAGGTCACATACATATATTGATGATACTTTATTAGTAGTACCAAAAGAACATAATGATAAAGAAATACAAACAGTGGCAACAACATTCCATGACTAGAACTAAAAGCAAAGTATGGCTTCTTTTCTTCAGACAGACACTTTTTTCTGCAATGTATGGGTCTTTTTCTATTTTGATGTACCCCAATTAAAAACTGGGTTTCAGATGTTAACAGAAGGGTAGTTTCCTTTTTATCTGTAAACGGTGGCTTCATTAAAGAGCTCACAACACACAATACGAACCAGAGACAATCAATGAATCAGATGTAGTAAAAAGTGTAGTTTCCACAAGACGCCTTTGTAGAATAAATAGTAGAAATCGGCCTAAAGGGAATGAATGTAACTGGCCAGAGGAGTTAGCCGGCAATAGAGGGTCCAATTCGACTGTGTTTTTTTTACCCTATATAGATAGGAACCTGTATATAGGGTAACTCCACTGGCCGATCACATTCCTTTTTAGGCCGATTTCTACTATTTATTCAGCCTGCAAAGTAGTCTGGCGGAGACTGTAAGAAGCGTATACCCTGAACGTTTGCGTTATTCTTCGGTAGGTCGCAAGGTGGGTGCTGCTAGTTGAGCAATGGCCCTACAGGATGAGCTGGATCATCCAGTACGTCGACGACTTCTTCCAAAGGAGAGAGCTCGGAAGGCACGAGACTCTACAGCGGGGGATTCAAATGCACGACAAGCTGGTGGACATCTTCGTCGAAAGAGTCAAAGTCGAGATCAGCACTCAGGAAGAATGGAGCCACCTCAACCCGCTGGACGAAGATCCCGAAATGTTCGAGCTCTTCTTGACTTTTGCCAAGTTCACCGTTAAGGTATGTCCAGTAAAAAATCTATTCTCTATACACGTAATTACGTTTGTATGTATTTTATTGCCTTGGCCAGAATGGTTTCGGTTTGGCCATGGAGTGGCTGTGCTGGTATTTGTACCATATGTGAACATCAAAAGACAAGCTAAGAAGCTGTGGATGGATCTTCGTGATATTTTGTAGGTTAGTAGTGGTTGTGGACACAAAGGTGAAGTTCGAAAATAGTTCACCTGGCGAAAGACAGAGACCAATATGGTTTATTGGTCTTCTGCTACGATGTTTAGTTCCTTTACCAGATATCGGTTCGAAGATGTTTTCATCTGTTAAATGAAAAAAAAATCTAGATCTGGGTTGTTTCCTTTCAGTTTTATACAAATCCATTTAACGGTAACGATAATGAAAACTTAAAAATGTCGTTTTCTTTTAAGGACATGCAAGACCTCCTTCCCTACACCGTCAACCTCGACCTCTCAATCCGGCAGACGATTAGTTACGCCAGAGCCCAGACTGACGTCAAAGAGGTTGAACAGAACAATCAGATGTTGGCAAGTCTTCTGAACGAAGACGATTCAACAGGTAAGGCTGATGGCTTTAAGCCTTTAATCAACATCACTAACCTTCACCAGGCTTTCCTACGCGGTTACGGGTTGTAGAATTCGAAAAAAAAGGAAAAATAGTTGGCCAGGAGAGTCAGTCCGAGGGAAGGATAATTTCCGACTCCGACGAGGGCAAAAGTACTCTACAGTGACCAAAAGCTCCTGGCTAATTATTTACCCTACTTGGTTCCGCTCAGTTTTACATTTTGATAGGAAAAAGTGATTGACAATTTGTGAATGAAATGAGCTGTTATTAAGGAAATCAGTGTCATTCCTTTGCACGATAACCGTTTTTCTTTCAAGAGATACACCAAGTATGATGCTTTACACATAGGCCTCTGGATCGTCTACATTCAGCCACATGTAGGTTACACTAATAATGAACTATTTTTACACTCAGCACCTCAATTCTCGGACCTCCTAAGAAATGGAAGAAAAGGACCTGGAGTCATGAAGGTTCCAGACGGATTCTTCAGTGTGGAGCAAGAGGCAGACAACCTCGGGTCTTCTTCATCACCACAAGACCGAAACACTGAGACAACAACCGCCCCCAGCAGACGACCACAGGTGCGTCACCACAGCAACCTTCCCAGTCCTGACCCAAACCTTGACGTCATCGCTGAAGAATCCCCAGAGGAGGCTTGCAGGGACGTCCAGCGACAGCTGTCTGCGGCGATGGACGAATCAGGTGCCGAGAACGATGACGGGCCTGCCGCGGTAGTCGAAGATGTCGAGGAAAGCAGCGACGCGGGACCACAAGGACATGTCAACGGTCATACCACTGACGAAGACGCGGCAGCTGATCTAAGAGCAACCGGCGCAAAGACAAAGTCGACCTCACCAGACGACATCGTTCTGATCGAAAATGGAGGGACGCACGACATGAACGATGATGACCGGGAAAGCGACGGGTCACCTCTGCTGAATCGGTCGCCATCATGGACTAACGGGTCCTCGGACGAAGTTCATGAGGAAGAAGAGGACCAGTCTACTCCACTATTAATAGATCAGACACCAAGAGAGCGCGAATCAAATGTGTAGCTGCGCTTAGTATTGATATAGCTGTAGTCACAATTACAGAGTTACAGAGTTACAATGACACTGACCATGATAGTTTCTAGCTGTCCATCAACTACACTGACACCCAAATATTACTTACATGTACATCAATATTAGAAAAGTTCAATTTCCACAGCAGAGGATACCTTTTTAAGTCTAGGTGTAAACGCATAAAAATCAATGGAATAGTCACTACTCTGACACCCAAATACTTACCTCAACATTAGTTTTGTTCACCGCACATCAGAGGGCAGCTATATATATTTTATGTGATGTTGCTGATGTTTTGATAACGTTTTTTTCTTCAGGCCATGATGACAATGGAAGCACTTGTTATTTTGCAAATTAGACTTATCTTTACCTTCCAAACAAACAGACAAAATAAGTTGACCAGAAGACTTTTCTTTAATGCGCATAGCTTTTAGAAAGCATTTTATGACGTTGCTGCTTTTATACTCCAGCAATTTTATAGTGTATGCACTGTGGTTATCTTCTGATCGACAATTCACATTTTAAAAATTGTTTTGGAAACAGCCATCGGAAACCAAAAGAATGATAGAATCACTGTTTTTATTGGCTTGTAGTGTTTTTAGATACAAGCTTGGTAAGTTAGCTTGTGCTGGAGTGTCCTTTTGTTGACTTTGTCGTCAATATTTGTTGTACGGTACCTGTTGCCTTGGGTTTTAGTTTATTGGTGATAGAACATTAACTACTAACTATGCTGGTGTTTGGCTTCACTATCATTTCAGATGACTTCTAATTGCAATTTTGTTCTTAATAAATACACTACAAGTATTTGTGGTTATACTGATTTTGCCCTCAGACAACCAAGACACTTTGATATTTCAGTTGTCCAATGACAAAAAGTATACGTAAGTAATGACAACTTTAAACTTGACACTGTCATGAAAGCTTCACGGCACTGTACAAGCAGTCTACATAGAACTTACTCGATCGAAACGCGTTGTTGTCACTCACTGGGCGACCGAAGTCACATTGAGGCAGATTGCATTGGGATTTCCAGCAGCACCACCTTGCGATATGAATTAGTATAGCAAATATAGCGATGTAACAAGAAGCGTTGCTATGCGATAATTGGTATAAATTGTAATTGCAAATGCCATATACGTGTAGGTTTCATTGCAAATTTGTCTCAGCTAAGCTTGTTAACATTACCAGGCATTCATACCGTTATTCCATTTTCAAGAAAATAACGGAATAGAGCTGTATCTACAGTATTAAAACATTACCGAAGTTAATGTTGTTTTCAAGAGACTGATGGGCAACGTTGCTATCGATAAAAGTGCATTGAAACTTAATCATTAAACAATTATAGTTTATTAACGCAGAGACTAGGGAACACTTTTTTTTTATTTCCCCAGCTTTCCAGGAAGAACCACCGGTCCGGGAAGTCTGATTATTATTATCAAATTACGAAACAAGGAAATCGGGACACGGAACCACGACCCAGACAACATGTGTGCTCTGGGGTCAGCTTTAATAGCCTGGTATCCAGTCTTACGTGGTAGGGGCGGGTTTTCCTCGGGGCCGCATAAGCTATTTCCCGCCCGCGTGGGGCAAACCAAATCCCCAAGCATGCCATCTGTTAGCCTAGGTGGGGGAAGCTATTAGAGCCCCCGAAGACACAGCCTGCCTGAACACCCAACAGCCGCAATCACGTAAGATACCAGGCTAGGGTCAGCTAGCTGGCGCAGCACTTCTTCGGCCAGACAGGGAAGTTACCACGAGACACTTCCCTATGAGATTTCAATCGTCTTTCCCGTAAAAAAAGTGACACTTCCTTGGCCATGGCACATGTACAGGTTATTTTTAGATCCTCTTTAGCTACACACACTGAACAGTGTCAGTATTTTATAGCAGAGTCTACCAGGCGTCAGAAGCACGCGCGCAGCTGGAAAGAGTAGAAGTTGGCCCGTAGAGGTAGACAGATAACATGCCAGGGGAGTTGGTCCACTAAGTTAGTAGTACAGTCCCGGCATGTTATCTAGTGTCTGTCTATTTGGCCAATTTCTACTCTTTCTATGTTCCATGGTCCAGCCGCTTTTGAAGCCAATCTTGAAACTATGAAAGCGCGGCAATAGAAAATTGACGTAGCGTGGGTGCCATCCATTTTGTAACAGGGCTCCTTGCACTAGTTTTTTTTTTTTCTTCGAGTACAAAACAGATGGCTCCCAGGCTAGAATTGACGCTGGAAATACGAAATGTCGTCATCCGTCTGCTGATTTTTATCTTTCCTGGCCCAGCGGACTACTTTCCCTTCCCTTTCTGTGTGGCACTCTGCCGACAACTGATTCGTTGCAGACATGAATGAGGCTATGCGCTACATATGCTCTGCATATTGCGTTAGTGTTGTGAGAATACACATGATTTGATTCCTTTCACATGCACAGTTCCGTACCCAGCCGCACATAGTCTCTCTACCAGGCTAATAGAAGCGGCTAGAAAAAAAAGTAAAAATTTGCCAACGCAAATTAAACTTGAGACATATAACATGAAAGAGGAGTTGGTCCGCTAATTATAAAGGAGTACAGGGGCCAACTCCCCTGGCATGTTATATGCACGTGGTTTAATATATGTTTTTTTTTTGGGGGGGGGGGTTCTATTTTTTTACTCTTTCCAATCACTTCTGAAGCCTGGTAGAGGCTACTTACAGATACAGCTGTCATGTAATATCAGATATTACAGTATATTCTTTTCTGTGAATTACCCTTTTTTGCTAGATTGTTCTTCTTTTCCTTTTATATTTCCA